ATAAAACTCCAGTGTAGTGGAGGGGGATTGGGGAGGCACCCTCTTGGGGAAGCTCTTTGATAGAAGTAACTCATCTTCTGATACTTGTTCATTTACTCACTCAATACTTATGTGCCAGCCCTGGGGCTCCGATGAGGATTGACGCACTTGGTCTCTGCCTTCATGAAGCTCCATTCTAGAGGAGAAATTTCAAACAGGGCGCCCAGGACCTATCACAGACACTCCCAAAGGCATATGTGCTACAGGGACTTCAGTCAGGTTGGCCTGGTTAAAACCCGACTTTCCTCCTTACAGCCACATGACAGAGGAGCTGCAGCTTCTCTGTCCCTGCTCCTAGCTTCCCACGCCATCAGTTGCTGGACTAGTGCAGTGACTACCATTCATAAATGGCAATTATTTTGTATTCTTAAAAGCAAAGTGACTGCCTGGAACAGTCCTGACACTGTAACTGCCTGCGATGATGGAAACGGTCTATGTCCGACACGGCAGCCACTACTCACGCGTGGCTTCACGGTGAAACGGAGGAATGAAATTTACCAAACAGCTACAGTGACCAGGGGGTGATCATAGTGGACAATGCAGGCAGGTCTAGAAGAGGGCTGGATCCAGGGCGTGGCAGGTGATGTCACAGGTAAACAGGAGCTGGGAGGAGTGGAAGGGATGGGCGGCTGCAGAAACACGGCTGGATGGCGAGGAGACAGGCTCGGAAGGGCTAGGAATGGCAGGAGCAGGTGGAGTGAGGGCCACTGCTGTGAGCAGTTTTCAAGTAGGGGGAGCAAAGAACATGTCTCAGGAGGTAGGCAAAGTGAAAGCCAGACACAAAAAGGCACATACTGTATGACTGCGTTGACATGGCACGTCCAGAACAGAAGCTACAGAGCAGAAAGATGCGTGGTTGCCGGGGGCTGGAAATGGGGGCAGTGGGAAGGGGAGTGACTGCTATGAGAGTGGGGTTTCTTCGGGAGGTGATGAAATTAGGCTGTGGTGATGGTTGCGTAACGCTAAAACTAACCACTATGCTTGAAGTGGGCAAATCGCATAGCGTGTGTGTGAACCTCCATCAAGCGGTTTCAAAACACCAAAACCTCAGGCCTCAGGTCCATTTCCCATCACAAGGCTCTGACTTCTGATTTGAAAAACAAGAGCCCTCCCTACAGCTGGAGCCTTTACCAGGAAAGAGAAAGTCAATGCACGCAAGAGAAATCGAACACCAGCTGGTGGGGGTTTGAAAGGACTCCTGAGAGAGAAGGAAAATGCTTGAGAAACGCAGAAGGTGCGAGAAAAAGCCATCTCTCATCTCTCCTGAAAGGGCTGTTATCAGACGTTAGTTTGACATTCCCAGAGGTGAATGGACAAACCTGGCCTTTCATTTCCTTCTCAGTGGTTTTTCTTCATCAGGGACGGAGATGCTCAGGTGGGCACAGTGTGGGCAGGACCTGGGAGAGGCGGGAAGCTGTGTGCTGAGAAAGCTGGCGCACAGGCTTTCTCTGCGGCAAGCCAGCAACCAGCAGGGGCAAAGAGGAGGTTCTGGAGTCCAGTCAAAGGTGACTGAATGTCGGTTTTTAAAAGGAATACAGCTTAAGACAGCTATAAAGATGCACAAATCTAAATTTTAAAGTTTAAAACCAGTATTTCTGGCATATTCCTTTAAGTTTTAAAGAGAAACAACCATCTTTAAGTATGATGTTAAATTGGGAGACGTTCAAGTTGTGCGTAACGTTCTGTTTTTACATCAATTTCTCTCTCAGGAGTTCTAAGGCAAAGACTCAGAGAAGATCTAGATCACCTTGTTCTTGAGTCACAGAAAAATCTGCGCTAGCGTGGGGACGTAAGGAAGAGCCTGGAGAACGTAGTCAATCATATGGTAATCACTTTTATATGGTGACAGAAGGTAACCGGACTTACCGTGGTGATCACTTCATAATGTATTTAATATCAAATCTCTATTGTACACTTGAAACTAACAGAATATTGGAAGTCAATGATATTACAATTAAAAAGGAAAGAAAACCTGTGCTAGATGGGAGTGGACTTCAGGTTAATCACCCTCTAATTACACAGGAAACAGCTCTGGAAGGGAGTCCATGGAGAAAGCCCCGACCCTCCATCCTGGCCCAGTTTCCCAAAGTGTGCGGTGCAGACTTGCATGGCATGCGATGAACACTTTATATATAGATGCTATGTAGCTTACCGTGTATTTTAAAACATAGAATTAGGAGATTCCAAATACTAATGGTCAGAATGAGTTGAAGTTGAAAAGGGTGCATTTCAAGTTGCTTTAAAACAGGTGGTGGTGGTGACGCCCTGGCTGGTGTGGCTCGGTTGGCGGCGTCCGTTGCACAGAAGCTGCCAGTTCAATTCCTGGTTGGGGCACATGCCTGGGTTTCGGGCTCGATCCCTAGTATAGGGCATGTAGGAGGCAGCCAACTGATGCTTCTCTCTCCCTTCTCTAAAAATCAACCAAAAATCTTACACACAAACACACACACACCATTAGCAAAAAAGCCCACATTACTGTGATGATGGTTGTATGACATTGTGAATGCACTGAATTGTCCACTTAAAAATGGTTAAAGTAGCCCAAAAAATAATAGTGTGGTAGGAGTGAAATGCCAGTCCTCCCAGGAAGTGGCCTCGCAGGAGCACACTGACCAACTATTCGGGAGCACTGAGTTACCAATGAACCCCCCTAAACACCAAGACAGCTGCTCTAAGGAGGGCAAAGCTGCAATGATTCGCCACCCGAGGGAGCCACAGGAGTTGTAGGGTCCCCAAGTGCCTTTGACTAGAGTCTAGATGACAGCGTGCAATCATGTGCAGTGAGACTGGAGAGGTTAACCAGAGCACGTTGGCCTTTATTAGTGGTTACGAGAAAGGGCTTGGGAGTCGGGCAGACCTGGTTTGATTCTCAGTGCATGCCACGTGCTAGCAGGCAGCCCAATTTCTTTTAACATCAGTTTGGTTATCTGCAAAATGGGGATGAGAACTGTAGCTCCCTCCCAGGGATGTTACGAAGACTGGAACACGGTGGGGAGTGTTTTTGCCACTGTGCAGGCTTTATGTAGCTCAGCCATCAGCCAGTCAACTGAGTTGAAGTTTATTTGCATTGAGGACTGTAATGTTTTAAATAGGTCTCAGTAAAGGATCTTCTTTGGGGGGAAAAAGACTGAAACATACAATGTGTACCCAGTGTTTCCCACAGCACTTGGATTGTGGTCAGTGAACATTAACTAGGATGATTACTGCCTATTAATACAAAGTTTTGATTTTTAAACATATTTTTAACGAATACAAATGAAAAAGCCATTTTCCCAAGTTTATTTGCATTCAGAACCCTTACTTCCACAGAACGCTTCACAGGCTAGTCCTCAGTGCAACCGGTGCTGGGAAACACTACCCCAGGCAAGCCTGAGGGAGGACCCGTGATGAGAAGGTAGAGGCCTGGCCTCTTCCAGGCCATGTGCTGGTTGCACACCTCTGCACAGGACTGGCCCCTTGGAGGAGAGGGTGGCAAGGGCAGAAAGAGCAGACATGCTTATACTGCAGCCAGAGGGCCTGAGGCTGCAGGCCCAGGGGCCAAGCCTGTCATTCAAGGACTGAGGAGGCCCAAGTGTGGGGCCTCACTTGGAGAGAGATCTAGAATTAATGAATAGTAAAGCCAAGGGACCTTAGAAGTGCCCTCCAGTGGCCTTGTTCTGAGGTCAGAATGAGGGGAAAGGAGCTGACCCACTGTGGGCTGCAGCAGTAAAGGCCCGGGGAAGAAGAAACCCACACTCTGAACTCCATCCTGGCCAGCTGCCTCCCTAGGCACAGGACTCCGCAGTCCAGGGAAGGGACTGGAACTCAGGCTTGGGCCAGTTCCGCAGTGTGGCAGCCACTACTGGGAATAGCAGCAGCATAAAAATCAAGGATGCCAAAAAAAATGTTACGATGCTTCCATTATCAGCAGGGATGCTGCAAAAGAAGAGAGGATGCCGGGGAAGGCGGTTTTCTGGGAGGTTACCTTCTTTCAGGAGCCGTGGGTGGGTTCAGCTGCAAACAGGTACATCGAAACGAAACCTTACTAGGGCGCCCACCCCCTCTCCA